AGTTATCTAGAATTAAAATAACAGAAAATTTATTAGATTTAATAAGATAGTTGACAAGAAATTTAAACTTAAAGTTAAAAAAACTTTTATTTAGAAAAAATTTGTCCTATTTCTACTGACTTCTCCCCAAATTGCGCTATTAAAAAGTGGTTAATATTTTTCAAAAAAGTATATTAATAATCGATTGTTATTACTATAGAGTTGCATTAAAGGTTATTTGTAGTATGCACCTCTTAGCAATATAAAAGATTATGGTAAATAGTGCCTATATTGTGCAGGAAATACCTGTTTTACTCTTAAAAACGCCAAGAAAATTGCACTTAGCCAAAATGGTAAGTGTCTTTTAACTGCATATAGTAATTTCAAAACTCTGATGATATAGAAATACTATCAAGATCATATTTGGAATAGTTTGTTTAAATATATTAAAAATTCTGCTCATATTGTGTGGGTATTGCAAAAAATAGAGATTGCCTTTCAGATAGAGATGGGCAAATCATGGTTTTTCCAAAAATCTCATGCATCACGTGTGGGATTCATTAAACCTAGGTGCTATAGTTGATCCTCAATTTTGATTGGCCAATGGCGATCGGGGTAAAATCACCACCCAAAAAAGTTTCAAAAATCATGTGATACTGTTAATTTATTATGATTAGGATCATGATAATATAAAATATTAATTGATTTAGCAAGTGATTTTTTTCTTTGATTCTTCAAAATGAAAAGCGATCTTTGCAATTTCGACAAACCAAGTGATTCTTTAAAAGCATAAAATACAATAAACACGATATCCTAAAAATATATATTGATTGCTATAACCAAATTTCCAAATGAAAAAAAAGAATGAAAATTGAAATAAATTATAAAAACTAATCAGTAAATGCAATTGCACAAGAGAACTTTGTAAATTTTATTTTTAATGCTTTTCTAGAAGGCTACAACTCTAAAAATTTATTTGAGCAAAAAACTTTTATAATTCTGAATCCAGAACACAACAAAAAAAATTATTGAATAAACATAATAAATCCAAATAGCAACAAATGATCAATATTATTAACAAAAACTTTGAGCTATTGAATAAATTAGAGGAGGATTATTATCATTTTAAAGAGCAATAAAATCTTCCAAATATTTAGAAAACCATAATTATAATACTTTCTGGTTGTAATAAATATTACATTTATTGAGTTTATTTAAAATAAAATAAAATAATTAACTTATTCTATTGCTTATCATTATTATTTTGTTAGTCTATAAAGTTTTTCATATTTTTTTTGTTTATTATATGAATTTTTGATGCAAGATATATTTGTCACGTGATGTTCGAAACTTTTTCTGGTGGCAATTTAACCCTAGTTATGGAAATTGGGTTATGGATTGAATTTTATATCTTTAAAAGAATTACTTAGTTTGTCAGATTGTAATGGTCACTTTTTATTTTAAAGAATCAAAGAAAATAAATTACGTACTAAATCAATAAATATTATTATATATCATGAGATGAATTGACAATATTACATGATTTTTTTTTTGGTGGCTCAATTACTAGTTATGTTAATGCAGACTAAATATTATGTTAATATAGCCAGATGATATAATAATACAGCCTGATAATTTTATTTTAGGATCTTATTAAAAATCTTGCGCGAGATCTAAAAAAATCTTATGCATTACATACGTAATCTCGCATAGGATCATATGCAGATCTTGCACATGTCTATCTCTACTTTTAGATCAATACTATAACTCACATATCAAGCTAGAATAGATTTGTGATAATAAACATCAATAGAAAGCTATTTCTAATAGTATTTAACAAAGAACTTGGTATCCATTCTGCCCAAAATATAAGAGAGAAAAGCTATGTTATGAGATTTTAACAAAGTATCTCATTAATCCGCAGGCCTGATTTCTTAAAGATACAAGAATATCCAAATAGACTAGAACTTGATATATTTTATCCGCAATATGGCTTTGCAATCGAAGTACAAGGCATACAACATGAAAAATATCACGAATTCTTTTATGAAAGAGATTTTAATAATTTTATCAAACAGCAAGCATGGAATCAACTTAAGAAAAAATTATATGAAGAGAATTGGATTGCTTTAAGGTATGTTTGGTACTATGAAGACCTATATATAGTTATTCTGGCACATTTTCGAGAATCGGGTCTTATTGAGTAAACTTAAAACTTTAAACGCTCAATGATTAAGTAATAAAATATATTGTTAGAAACAAAATTTTATAGATACACAATCTCTATTTTGTCTTTCTGGTAGTCTGAACTTTATTTGCTTGAAAGTTTTAGATATATCTTTACTACATAGATAAATTATCATGTTAATTATATTTTCTACCAAAGTCAATGACGTCCTTTCTTTTTTTTCTTTTTTGTCTTCTTTTTTATATCGTCCATGATTGAGGAAATGTTGAATTCTTCTGGCACATCTGAAAGAAAGAAAAAGGTATAAAGAATTAAAGTAAAATATGAGCAAAATATATACACATATATTTATATAGCACAAACACAGTTCTATCTTTTAAAACATCCTATGCTATCCGATTATCATAGTTTTTTTAAATTCTTCCTTTGATATAATATCGAAATAATTCTTGAGAGACCATAATGCATAACTATCTAAATCTCAATCAAATATGCGACCAAAACAATCTATAAAAAGCATTCTACAGTAACATTTTTTGATAATAATAATATAATTAAAACCAAACTGTTTAATATCTATTATATAACACTGAAGCTCTATCTTAGTATTTTCTTCAGGATCTTCGGTTTGGAGATCGAAGCAAAAAGAAGTCACCACATGACAACTATCAGATTCTTTTAATATTTCAACTAAGATGGGAGAATTAATGCATGACAATTTATAGAATTCTGCACTATCTGATACTAGGTATACAGAAGAACTGTTTTCTTTGTTTTTAAATTCATCGTTTGAGAGTACAAGATAATATAGTATTTCTGCAGTTTTCTTTGTCTATATAGAGCATATCAAGGTACTGTCTCGAAACAATTTCCCCAAACTTGATTGCAGTTCTTTAATTTTTTTGTAGTTGAAATACTCGAAAACAATGTTGGCATCATTTTTACTCTTGTCATTGCTACTAGTTTGTTCATTTTGTATATCTGTTCTCTCATCTGTCTCACTTCTGCTATCTCACAACGAATTGTTGCCCCAAAGAAATATCTCAGAATCCTCCCTTTCCGAACTGAAAATATGAGGTTTACTGTGATTGGGCGAGCAAGCAAGTTCTTTTCTATTTCTATGATCTTGTCAACAAGAAGTTTCAATATTTTCTCCAAATATACAGTCTGGTCCTGAAATTTTGTCCTTGGAGATTGACTTATATGGTATGTCCACAATAGGCATATGACATTCCATACTGTAATCACCAAGATTAGATGAAATTAAGACAGTATTATTATCTTTCTCGTTGTACTATACGTAGTTACTATTCCCTGTCTATATAAAAATAAGTTTAATAAATACGCTTTTTTGCATTAGAATAAATCTGAACAGCTATTTAATACTTGAAAAAGACTATGAATTTCGTTATAAGTTTTCTCATTCATGGTTCATTAAGATTGTTTAGCTAGCTAAATGGGTCGATTGGTTTTTGTAAATTTTGTAACCACTTATATAAACTTGGAAAATGCACAGATTAGTGTCGGTAAAATTTTTAACGTTAGTTTAGTAATAATGATGGCTATTGCTACTTAAAAGCTCGCTCCCCTTCTGTCATTTCTGCTTTAAGGAATGCTAAAGCAGCATAATAGAAATTGTTTTGATTGGCCAATGTGATACAATTGAGTGTAAATTGTTATACAAATTATTTATATTAGTTTTATAGTACTCACTATATGAAAACATAATCGCTTATATGACAAGTGGCTAAGCATGTTATCTACGATTAAATAATTTTTAGAATACATTGGTCTTTTGCTTTACTAGCAGTTAGCAAATTTAATCCCATATAATCTCATTCCCGGAGAACTTTTACTAATATCGTATTTTTGCTAATTTCTAATAGCATATGACTAGATATGCTTGTAAAATTTTTAGCCTTTTCTTCAAAAGCATTAGTTTAATAGCTGTAATCAAGATTACAGATATTTACCAAAGAGATTTAAATAATATTTAATAGCTTGTATGAAGTATATAGACGACCGTCAAGTATAAAAAAAAAGCAATTGAATGGTAAATGAAATTTATTAGAGTTTTTGTATTTTTTTTTTGTTACTTTTAATGTTACTTCAATATCTAATATAGGTTTGAAATTTGTAATTAATATAGTAGCTAAAAGATTTGAAGAATACTTTAATGAAAGATAATGATTTTAAACAGAAAAATAGTTCTGTATGAGTATATTGTAAATATAGTCAAATATGAAAAAAAGCGATTGAATGGTAGTTAAAATTTATCAAGAGTTGTTTTTTTTTTTTTAAGTAATATTTTTAAAATGTTACTTTAACTAATATGATTTTGAAATTGTAATTGAGATAATATAGTAGATATAAGAGAGATTGAATAATAATTTGTAAAAGATTTTGAAAAAAAGTCATTTGAGTAGTAATTAAACAATATCTGATAAACTATTTATTGTATTGATTGCTAATTACTGTAGTATTAGATAGATTAATCTCAATTGTATGAGCATCGGCTTTCCTCAGAGCTAAAAGATTCCTTCAGGTTCTCAGATTAGGATAAGTTAAGAAAAAATTTAAATTTGTTGAGAGTACGTAATAATTCTTGCAAGTAAGTGCTACAATTATGTAAGTGATAGCTAAAATTTAAGTGTTATCGATTACAAATAAACTATAAATTACATGTATACAATTGTATTGCAAAAGATTCTGATCATTTATTGCAAATATCTATTCACCACAGCGTAACAAATTTATAAATGAACGTACAATAAAAAATAATATACATTCGATGGCATATTGTACAAGAAACAAATAATTCACATCATATTGTTTAAATAAAGATACTTTACACTATATGCATAGTAAAAGCCTATATCTTTTACAAATTAATTGATATTCAGATATTTTTTATAATTTTCTAGATCTTGAATACAAGTTTCAAGACTATATTAGCTATAAAAATAATACTGAAAAAAAAACATTCTTAAAAAAAAGTCTTACAAGCCTACCTAGTCATATGCTATTAGGAAATAGTAAAACACAACATTAGTAAAAGTTCCCTGGGAATGGGATTATATGAGATCAAATCTGCTAACTGCTAGTAAAGTGAAAGACCAATATATTTTGAAAATTATTTAATCATAGATAACGTGCTTAGCCACTTGTTATATGAGCGATTACGTTTTTATATAGTGAGTACTATAAAACTAATATAAATAATTTGTATAACGATCTATACTTAATTGTATCACATTGGCCAATCAAAACAACTTTCCATCATACTTGCTAAAGTGGAGTAACTATTAAATTGACGATCTAGGGGCCGTGCAAATCAATTGATAGCTAATCAAAATCAATTTTAGAAACTAGATTTTAATTTTTTTAAATCTTTAACTGAAGCTAACATAATAACTACCTTATCGAATTTAATAAAAATTTATTTATTCAAATTCTACAGACTCATAGAATTCAGATAAAAAAATTTTTATCGAATTTAGATGGATACTTGTCTAGATATCTTCGTTTGAAGTTTTTAAAACGTCTCACAATACAATAGAAGCTGCACCAAAATTGTTTAAAACTTTGAACGAAGATATCTAGATATCAACCTAACCAAATTTGGTTTGTTTTTTTTTTTTATCTAAATTCTACGGGTCTGTAGAATTCGAATAAAATTTCTTTATTAAATTTAATTAGTGGTTTCTGAGATATCTTCGAAGTTTTTAAAAAAATTTAAAATATCTCAATAGAAGCTGCACCAAATATTTTTAAAACTTTGAGTGAAAATATCTTGACATCAATCTGATCAAGTTTGACAGATTTTTTTTATTCGAATTATGCGGACCCGTAGAATGCAAATAAAAAAAAATTCATTCAATTTGATTAGATGGATGTTGAGATATTTTCGCTTAAAGTTTTAAAAAATCTTGGTGCAGTTTATACTTTTTTGATAGACGTTTTATTTTTTTGAAAACTTTGAACGAAAATATCTCAATACCCACCTAACCAAATTAAATGATTTTTTTATTTGAATCTTATAGGCCAGTAGAACTCAAATAAAAATTTATTTAATTTGGTTAGGTGAGTATTAAGATATTTTCGATCAAATTTTAACATCTGCTACAGCTTATATTATTTCTAATAGACGCTTTATTTTTTTTGAAAGCTTTGAACAATATATCTCGACAACCACATAACTGAATTGAATAAATTTTTTTTATTTGAATTCTACAGACACGTAGAATTCTAATAAAAAATTTTCATTTAATTTAGTTAGGTGAGTGTCAAGATATTTTCATTCAAAGTTGTAACATTTAGCATGATATTTTATTTTTTTGAAAACTTTGAATAAAATATCTCAACACTTACCCAACCAAATTGTACAAAGATTTTTTATTTAAATTCTATGAGTCCATAGAATTCAAATAAAAAAATTTCACTTCAATTTGGCCAAATAGGTGTCAAGATATTTTTGTTCAAAGTACTACAACTTATATTTTTTTGATAGATGTTTTTTTTTTTTTTTTGAAACTTTGAACAAAAATATCCCAACTTCTATCTAACAAAATTGAATGAAATGTTTTTTCAAACCAATTTTAACAATTATATAATCGGTTATTATATTTTTATTACTTCATTATTCATTTTTTATAGTCAATACAAGCATCAATTTATTTATTTTTATTTTATTTTTTTTAATTTTTTTTTTTTTAAAAAAAAAATAAAGCATGATCCAACTATTATTAACATTTCCATTCATAGGTGCAATTTGTATCCAACAATAAACCCTCAGAAAAAGTCCAACGAAAATCTAAAGACTTTGATAACAACCTATATCGAAAAATATATCTTAAAAAAAAAAAAAAATGATCAAAAAAAAAAGTTGCAAGGAGTAATATTCACTCTACAAACACCAAAACAACAAGAAAGTATTCTAAAAATCTAAAAAGAAAAGGATAGTTAATATACTAAATGTATATAAAAAAAAAAGAATATAAAATGAGAAAAATGCACAAAGAGCCTTCAAGAAGCAATGTTGAAGATCTACACAATCCTCAAATACTGAAAGCAGCGAGAAACAACCTAAAAACCTAAAAAGAAAAAAAAATAGTATACTAAATGCTAAAAAAAAAAAACATATATATTAAAAAAAAAAGAATACAAAATGAAAAAATGCCAAAAAGCCTTCAAGAAATAATGTTA